CAAGAGCCGCAAGTGTCGTCCTCAGTGTGTCGTGCCATTCACGAGGGGCCTGACGCAGGCCATAAACTGGTCGCCGTAGGCTCCACTGGGTACCCTCAGGAAACGACCCAGTGAAGCCAGGTGGACGGCGCAGCGAGATGGCCTCGTGAAGGCTACCCTGCAAGAAATCTGTGGAGAATTCGAGAGAGTGCAGCTCGTAGTCACGCTGAGCTGCAACATTTCGCAACACCCGAAGAGTGGTCATCTTCGGGGTAGGGGAGAAGGTCTGAAAGAAGTCGACCCCCTCACGCTGACTGAAGCCTCGAGCAACGTAACGCGCCTTGAAGGCAGGCGGAGAACCCGGCGGCCGCTTCACCCTGAAAATCCACATGCCACTGACGATGTTCGCCCCAGGTGGGGGAACCTCGTCGACGTAGGTGCTTGTGGACTTCCAGGAAGCCATCTCTGCATCCATGGCTGTCTTCCACTGAGAGGAGTACTCACCCGAGATCATCTCTCTGTAAGAGCGTGGGGTGGGGATGTCAAGTGCATCCGGGTCTCCCTCAGGGGCAAGCAGCATAGTCGCGAGATGAGGTGCAGCAGCCGCAAGACAATCCAGCTCCTCCTGCCTATCCTCAAGAACGTCACAGCCAAGGGCAACCTCACCCCCGACGAACGGAGGACAGGCAGGGTCAGGGTCAGAAACGAGACTCGCAATGTAGTCTAGGCGGTACGCAACAGCAAAGTCAACTAGCTGAGCGACTAAGGCAGACGCAGCAGGAGACAAGAGCGTAGGGTCCGTCACAACCGTAGCAAGAAAGTGAGTAACAGTCGGAGGGTCAGCAACAGCAGGAAGAGAAGACGCAGGAGGTGACAGCAGGACAACGCGCTGTGGAACAGAGGAAGGACTGAGTGTCATATCGTGAGTGCCTGGGACAGTCGGAGCACGAGAACGACGAACACGAGGAACACGAGCATGAATAGAAGCTCTAGCCTCAGGTTCTCGACGCTCAGGAGTGGAAGCACGAGTCTCAGGCTCTCAACGCTCAGTCAGGGACGCTGTGACAGCAGTGTAAGGAGCAGGAGCAGGCAGTGTGGAGTGAGGCAGGAGCTGTGGGAACAGTAACGGAGGAGTAGTACAAGCGACTGGGAACTCAGTAGGAGATGGCGGAAGACCGAGAAGGTGGCGAAGCGCACCAGCAGGTCCAGTACCTCCAGTACCAGCAGGACCTCCAGTACCTCCAGCAGTGGTAGCTCCAGCACCTCCAGCACCAGCAGCACCTCTAGCACCTCTAGCACCTCCAACACCAGCAGCTCCAGCACCTCCAGCACCAGCAGCACCTCCAGCACCTCCAGCACCAGCAGTACCTCCAGCACCTCCAGCACCTCCAGCCCCAGCAGCTCCAGCACCTACAGCACTAGCAGCTCCAGTACTTCCAGCACCAGCAGCACCTCCAGCACCTCCAGCAGTACCTCCAGCACCTCCAGCACTAGCAGGACCTCCAGGACCAGCACCTCCAGCACCTCCAGCACCTGCAGCTCCAGTACCTCCAGGACAAGCAGCTCTAGTACCTCCAGCACCAGCAGCACCTCTAGTACCTCCAGCAGTACCTCCAGCACCTTGAGGACTAGTAGCTCCAGCACCAGCAGGACTGGATCCTCCACCGCCACCAGGACTCGCAGCACCCCCAGAGTCAGCACCCCTAGAACCAGCACCCCCAGTCACAGCACCCCCAGAACCCTCACCCTCTGCCTCAGCACCCCCAGGCTCAACACCAGCAGCCTCAGCTCCAGAGTCCACAGCAGTAGGCTGCGGAGGCGGCGAAGACAGCCTAGGGGGAAAACCAGGGGGGGTATCCAAGCGTGGAGAGCGGCGAGTGGCCACCGTGTCGTCAGCAACGGGGTCACCCCCCTCGGCTGGGCCAGAGTCAGAAGAGATCTTGAAAGGCTCAACCAAGGGGGGTGGGTCTACCTGAGACACACCTGAGGGAGCAGGACCCTGCGGGGGGAGGGGGTCGACCGGGGGGGGGACTGGTACCAGGAAGAGAGGTGCGAGGGGGACAGGGTGGGACGCGTGCGGGTGAAGCCTGCAGTAACAGACAGACTCGTCAAAGGTGACGTCCTGGGAGGAGAAGAATCGACGCGAGCGCGGGTGGTAGAACTGCCACAGCGGGGCGTCGGTGGGGAAGCCAAGGAAGATGCAGCGAAGAGTGCGAGGGGAGAGCTTGCTCGCAGTGGTATCGCGAACAAGGGAGAGCGCGCCCCAGACCCGAAACACCGACGCATCGCCAACCTGTCCCGTCCAACGGAGTGTGGGTGAGGTCTCTGGCAAAGAGACACGGGGCCAGAGGTTAAGCTGATGCGCAGCGTATCGGACCGCAAACGGCCACAGAAAATGGGGAGCAACCGCATGGATCATGGAGGTACGAGCAACCTCCATGATCAAGCCAATGTGACGCTCAGCAATCCCATTTTGCTTAGGAGAGGCCGGAAGCGTGAACGACTGGCAGATGCCCTCGTCTCGACAGAAATCCGCAAGGAGGTCAGAAGAGAACTCACCGCCCCTGTTAGAGTGCAGAAGCAGGACTGGCAAGTCCCGACTAAACCGATCGCGCAGCTGGTGACGAGTAGCACGGATCCACGGGATCAAAACACCACTGATGCAAGGGGAAGACAGTGGTGTAGCGTGTGTAGTCGTTAACAACCAGCAAGAAGAAGAGCTCCTGGTCCGTTCCACCGACGGGGGCCGGGCCCCAAACGTCAATGTGGAGAGTCTGCAGAGGAGCAGTGGGCGGAGAAAACTCGGAGGAGTGAGGAGCGGCGCGCTGCCGCCCCTCGACACAGGGAAGGCAGGGCAGTGCAGGCGAGCGCGGGAGGGAGGGCAGGGACCTGGGAAGCCCAGAGACAAGGAGACGGGAGTGCATGCTGCGGAGACGTGGCAGTGAAGGGTGACCGAGGCGGTGGTGCCAGAGGAGAGTCTGGTGGGAGAGTACCCGACACGAGCAAGACGCTGCAAGCTGACCAGACGCAGACACCTGACTCGACGCAGTCACCTGACCTGGCTCAGCCACCTGTGCAGACGCAGTGGTCAGTGTGTACAGACTAGACCCAGGCCGTCGAGTGAACGTAGCCAGGTGACGGCCAGTCCGGGAGCACGTACAGATCGTCACACGCTGCCCTCCTGGAGTAAAGGTGTCAACCCAGACATCCTGAAGAGCGGCGTTGCTCACCAAGTTCGTGGAGAACGTGGGGAGGTGGAGACCTGACAGGGAACCGTAGGGGACTGCTGGACACGGAAGGACAGTGGAGGCTCGTGCAACTACTGGGCCCCCAGTGGGGTCGGCCAGTGAGACTGGTACCGGTGCAGCTAGTGGTGTGAGTGTGGTGCAGTCACGAAAGAAACAACGAGGCACGCCTGAGTCAAGTGTGAAAAAGTGAAGGGCCTCAGCGGAGGCAACAGACTCACTAGTGTGAAAATAACAAACGAGAATCAATGAACTAGCAAACAGTTGGGTACAAGTACTAACCCTAATTGGGTTGTACCCCTTATGGGCTACCCTACTACAGCCTACACAAATGTATAAGCTATAATGTTCTGACACACCCCCATAGACAAAGTGGGGGAGAACAAGTGGTCACAAGACCAGTCAAGAAAAGCAAAGCAAGCTCAGGGTGGATCACAAAGTCACCACACAGTCCGAGCACAAGCAAAGGGCCACAAGGCCAGTTCACATGCAGAGTTATATAAAGGGAACAAACAATACAGTGATCATACCCTAGCAAGTGCAAGCATGCAGGTATATATAGAGATCACAGTACAAGCAGGGTCAAGCAGTGAGCAAGTGAGGCAAAGTGGGCACAAGGCCTAACACAGTAGCAAAGCGCTGATGATCACCAAGCGGAAGTGCCTTGGTGAAGACATCAGCAGTGTTGACCCGAGTGGCCACGTACGCAAGACGAAGCTGGCCACGCTGCTGCAACTCTCGAGCAAGGAAGTATCGCAGAGCGATGTGCTTCGTTCTGTGCTCCAGTCTATGCTCCTGATACAAGGCAATCATGGCCTTGTTGTCTACGTACAGGACTGGAGGCGAACGAGGCTGCTCTCCCAAGTCGGTCAGCAAGTAGGTGAGCCAGCGTAGCTCCTGAGCAGCCATGGCTCCGGCGTAGATCTCAGCCTCACAACTGGAGCTGAGAACTGAAGACGAGCGGGTAGACCGCCAAGAAACCGAGCTGGACCCAAGGCTGAAGGTGTAACCCTGTAACGACCGCTGCGTAGCTGAGTCGTCAACCCAAGAGGTGTCTGCGTGACCAGTGAGGACAACTAGACCCCGTCCTCCAAGCACAAGCCCCATGCCCGATGTACTGCACAGGTAACGCAGTACCCTCTTCGCAGCATCCCAGTGCACCTTTCGGTGCCTACCAGGAGCCACGTAGCGAGCCAGAAGGCTGAGAGGGTACGCGAGGTCAGGTCGTGTGCAAGTCATCAGGTACATGAGGCAACCCACAAGCTCTGGGTACGGACCACTCGGCTCTACGGACTCGTCCGAAGGTGGAGCTGAGAGCGAGTGGCTGGTAGACAGAGGAGTGAGCTGTGGCGAGGAGTACTGGAAGCCGAAGCGCTGAAGGACCTGGTGCACCATGTGTGACTGAGTCAGTGTGATGGTGCGCCGTGCTCTGTCCCGGGTGATCTGCAAGCCAAGATAGCTACGCAGTTCACCCAGGTCAGTGCAGGTGTGTCTCTTCTGCAGCTCGGACTTCACAAGGGTCAGTGCCTCAGTGTCACCCGTGGCAAAGACGAGGTCGTCGACGTACACTAGGACGTAGAACTGCGGCAGCGAGGTGTTGGTGCGTAGAAACAGCGACGGGTCTGCTGTAGAAGGAGCAAACCCAAGAGCCGCAAGTGTAGTCCTCAGTGTGTCGTGCCACTCGCGAGGCGCCTGGTGGAGACCGTACACTGGCCGGCGAAGGCTCCACTGAGTACTTGCAGGAAACGTCCCAATGAAACCAGGTGGTCGGCGCAGCTAGATCTCCTTGTGCAGGCTGCCCTGTAGAAAGGCTGTACTGAAGTCCAGGGAGGGCAACTCGTAGTCACGCTGAGCAGCGACGTGCAGCAACACACGAAGAGTGGTCATCTTCGGGGTGGGGGAGAAGGTCTGGAAGTAGTCAACTCCCTGTCGCTGGCTGAAGCCTCGAGCAACGTAACGCGCCTTGAAGGCAAGCGGAGAACCCGGCGGCCGCTTTACCCTGAAAATCCACATGCCATCGACTATGTTCGCCCCAGGTGGGGGAACCTCGTCGACGTAGGTGCCTGTGGGCTTCCAGGATGCCATCTTGGCATCCATAGCTGCCTGCCACTGAGAGGAGTAAGGACCCGTAATCGCCTCTGCGTAAGAGCGCGGGGTCGGGATGTCTGGAGCATCCGGGTCTCCCTCAAGGGCAAGCAGCATGGAAGCGAAACGAGGTACAGCAGCTGCAAGACACTCAAAGTCCTCCTGCCTGTCCTCAAGGACGTCCGTGCCAAGAGCACACTCACCCCCGACGGACGGAGGACTGGCAGACACAGACTCAGCAACTAGAGCAGTGGCGTAGTCGAGACGGCTGGCAGCAGCAAAGTCAAGCAGCTCAGCTACAAGAGCAGACGCAGCAGCAGACTCAAAGTACGGGTTAGTGACAGCAGTGGCAAGGAGACGAGCGACAGTGGGACTGGCAGCACGCGCTCGGTCAGACTCAGGGTCAGGGACCTCAGGAAGAGAGGACTCAGGAGGAGCAGGTAGAGGTACACGCAGTGGAACAGAGGAAGGACGGAGTGCCATAGTGTGCATGCCGGGGACAGGAGGAGGACGCGAATGACGAGCGCGACGAGCAGTGCGAACAGGCGAGACAGGACGAGACGCAGGCTCACGACGCTCTGTAAGACCGCCGGACTGCTCAGTGTAAGGAGAGGGAGCAGGCAGTGGGGAGGCTGGCTGTAACAGCGGCTGCGACTGGTCAGGCGGTGGACACAGGAAGGGAGGAGGAAGACCAGTAGACGGGACACCAAGAACTTGCTGAAGTAGGGGAACGAAGTACGGTCGCGGCCGCACAGTGTCTCCAGCACCTCCAGCTCCAGGGTCAACAGCTCCAGCTCCTGCAGCTCCAGCGCCTCCGGCGCCAGTGCCTCCAACTCCAGCTCCTGCAGCCCCAGCGCCTCCTGCACCAGGGCCCCCAACTCCAGCTACTCCAGCTCCAGCGCCTACAGCGCCAGCTGCTCCAGGCTCCGTAGGGTCTCCAGCTCTTGCGCACCCAACACCACCAGTCCTGACAGCTCCAGTAGGAACAGCAGCACCTCCAGCTCCTGTGTCTCCAGCCCCTCCAGCTCCGGGAGCCCCACTCAGACGGTGCGGGCGCCAAACAAGCCACTCACGCAGCTGCTGCGAGGACAGTCGCGGCGAAGCACCAGTAGGACCTCCAGGCAAAGCAGCACCCCAAGGCTCAGCACCCCCAGACTCCGCACCCTCCGACTCAGCACCCACAGGCTCAACACCCTCAGGCTCAGCACCCCCAGACCCAGCACCCTCAGACCCCGCACCCCCCGGCTCCGCACCCTCAGACGCAGCACCCCCAGCAGCATCTGAGACGACAGCTACCTGAACAGGCGCAGTACCAGGGAGAGGGTCTACCTGAGACACTCCCGAGGGAGCAGGACCCTGGGGCGGTAGGGGGTCTACCGGAGGTGGACCGGGAGCAAGGAAGAGCGGCAAGGGCGGGGGAGGGGCAGAGCGGTAGGGGAAGAGATGGTAGAAGGGAACCGACTCGTCGAATGTGACGTCCTGAGACGAGAGGACACGGCGCGAGGTGGGGTGGTAAAACTGCCAGCCAGGTGCGTCAGGGACAAAGCCAAGGAAGACGCAGGGAATGGCGCGGGCGGAGAGCTTGTCTGCGGACGTATCGCGAACAAAGGCACAAGAACCCCAGACCTGGAACACCGACGCATCTCCAACCTTCCCCGTCCAACGCAGTGTGGGCGAGGTCTTCGGCAAGGAGACACGGGGCCAAAGGTTGAGTTGATGCGCAGCGTATCGGACCGCAAACGGCCACAGAAAATGGGGAGCAGCCGCATGGATCATGGAGGTACGAGCGACCTCCATGACTAAGCCAATGCGGCGCTCAGCAATCCCATTTTGCTGAGGGGAGTCCGGAAGCGTGAACGACTGGAGAATGCCCTCCCCACGACAAAAGTCCCGCAAGAGGTCGGAGGAGAACTCACCACCTTTGTCAGAGTGCAGACGCAGGACAGGAAGGTCCTGGCCGAACTGCTCGCGCAGCTGGAGACGGACTGTGCGGATCCAAGGGATCAAGACAGCAGAGACCTCACCCTTGCTGCGCAAGGGGAAGACTGTGGTGTACCGCGTGTAGTCGTCAACTACCAGCAGAAAGTAGCGCTCGCGGCCCTGTCCACTGACGCGGGCTGGGCCCCACACGTCCATGTGGAGGGTCTGCAGGGGAGCAGTCGTCGGGGGAAACGAGGAGGAGTGAGGAGCGGCGCGCTGCCACCCCTCGACGCAAGGAAGACAGGGCGGGGCAGGCGAGGGCGGTAAGGGAGGCAGAGACCTGGGGAGACCAGAGACAAGGAGACGGGAGTGCATGCCACGAAGGCGTGGCAGGGAGGGGTGACCCAGGCGGTGGTGCCAAAGAAGAGTCTGGTGCGACAGGAGGCGACAGGAGCAAGAGGCGGCTACCTGACCTGACGCGGACACCTGAGAAGACGCAGCGACCTGAGGAGGCTCGGTAGCCAGCGTGTACAGACTCGACCCTGGTCAATGAGTGAACGTAGCCAGGTGACGCCCCGTCCGTGTGCACGTGCAGATCGACACACGCTGACCCCCAGGAGTGGTGGTAGTGACCATCGCATCCTGAAGGGCAGCGGTACTCACCAAGTTCGTAGAGAACGAGGGGAGGTGAAGACCTGACAGTGAGCCGGACGGAACCGCCGGACACGGGAGGACAGTGGAGGAACGGGCAACGACCGGGTCCCCAGAGGGGTCAGCCAGTCTGACCGGGACAGGTGCAGGGAGAGGAGTGAGAGTGGTGCGTTCACAAAAGAAACAACGCGAGGCGCCGGAGTCCAACATGAAAGTGTGCAAGGCCTCAGCAGGCGCAGTACCAGGGAGAGTACCAAATGCACTAGCACCTAGAGCAGCAGCCGCTATACCTGGGTCAGGTGGCACACACCGGTAACAGTCACCCTCAGCACTAAAAGACAAAGCATACATGGCAGAGATAATAACATCATAGTCTAGGTCAAAGATAGCAACTCCTGACTGAAGCAACTGCGTCCAGCGAGGGCGCTCGACGTCGTCACCAAACTCAGCATGCCAGGCGTCGTCAAGGCGGGCAAAGCAACGGCGCTCAGTGTGAAACGTCCCGCATGTCTGGCCCGCACGGACACCCGTGCGAATGACATACGGGCAGGTCTCACTACCCTCAGCCGTCCCACGCTGAACCAACAACTCACGGAGCTGCTGGGGCGTCTGGGTCTCGCTCCGACGCTGCTGCTACTGGCCCCGACCACCACCAGGGCCTCCACGCCTAGGTCCAGACCTACCACCACCGGTCCCACCGCCTCCACTGCCGCCACTCCCTCCACTGCCTCCACCGCCGCCACCAGAGCCTCCATCGCCGCCACCAGTCCCACCGCTGCCACCACCTCCACCGCCTCCACCTCCTCTACCGCTGCCCCCACTACCGCTCCCACTGCCACCTCCACCACCACCGCTGCCACCTCCACTACCCCGGCCACCCTTTCCCTTGCTGTTGCGGCACTTCGCACTAGTCGAAGCAGCACCGACGTCCTCAGGAACAGAGACGTCTGCAGTAGCAGCAGAGGCAAAGGAGGGGGAAAGGGGGGAGGGGGAGCACCCCTCAAAGAAGGGTGAGCGTGGAGTGCCACGAGCAGCACCTACAGCAACTGCACTAGTCTCAGCTGCAAGGAGATGCTGCTCGAGGAGGTCAACAGTGAGGGAGGTGGGGTCGAGGGTGAGGAAGTGGTCCCTGACAGAGCGAAGGGAGTCAGGGAGGCGAGTGACTATGAAGTAGAGGGTGATGAACATGGGGGGCTGGTTCGTGGGAAGGAACTCAGCAAGGACGGTAGCGCGGTAGCGAGCGTCACTAGTGCGCAGGTGGGTAACCAGGTCCGCTATTGTGGCAAAAGCCGACAGCTCAGGGAACAGGTAGGGCAGTAGCAGCCTGCCAATAGCAGCAGTGGCAGGGGAGGAGTAGCGAGCAACAGGGCCTGTGCTGTCCTGTGCTCTCCAAAGTGAGCACATTCGGTCGCGGGCAGGTGGTTGCGAATGGCCAAGCGGGCAGTAGCGTCACGAGACAGCCACTGGGAACGAGTCGAAACGTCAGTTGTGGTGGGAGGGGCTGGAGCGGCACCAAACACGTGGTCAAACAGTGAGACACTGTCCTTAAGATCGCTCAGTAGGTACAGTTGCAGATCGTCGTGCCACGTGTCAAATGCTACAGGTCTGCCCTCCGGGTCGAACGGGAGAACTCTAAGCAACGCCATGGTGTCGCAGGACTTAGGAGCAACAGTAGCAGTAGCTAAGGGGCCAAGGGGCGGGGCCGAGGGGCCTAGGGGCCGAGGGGCCAAACAAGAGGGCCGAGGGGCCGAGTGGCCGAGGGGCCTAGGGGGCCGAGAGGCCTAGGGGGGGCCGAGGGGCCAAACAAGAGGTCCGAGGGGCCGAGGGGCCTAGGTGGCCGAGAGGCCTAGGGGGCCGAGGGGCCAAACATGAGGGCCGAGGGGCCAAGGGGCCTAGGGGGGGCCGAGAGGCCTAGGGGGCCAAGGGGCCAAACGAGAGGGTCGAGGGGCCGAGGGGTCCTAGGGGGGCCGAGGGGCCAAACACGAGGGCCGAGAAGGCCGAGCCTAAGGGCCGAGGCTAGGGGCCGAGGGGCCAAAGGGCGGGGCCGGGCGCTGGGCGAGGGACGGGGCCGGGCGCGGGTGTCGACGGGCGCGGGCTAGGGAAGGGGCCAGGCGCGGGGCTAGGTACGGGGCCAGGCGCGGGCGAGGTACGGGGCCGGGCGCTGGGCTAGGAACGGGGCGAGCGCGGGCTAGGTACAGGGCCGGGCGCGGGTGTCGACGGGGCGCGGGCTAGGTACGGGGCCGGGCACGGGTGTCGACAGGGCGCGGGCTAGGTACGGGGCCGGGTCGCGGGCTAGGTACGGGCCGAGCGCGGGTGTGAGACAGGGCCGGGCGCGGGCTAGGTACGGGCCGGTCGCGGGCTAGGTACGGGCCAGTCGCGGGCTAGGTACGGGCCGGGCGCGGGCGAGAGACGGGGTAAACGGGCTAGGTACGGGCCGAGAGCTGGCGTGAGACGGGGCCGGGCGCGGGCTAGGTACGGGCCGGGCGAGGGCGAGAGACGGGCCGGGCGCGAGGCTAGGAACGGGCCGATTGCAGGCTAGTACGGGCCGATCGCGGGCTAGGTACGGGCCGGGCGCGGGCGAGAGACGGGGCCGGGTGCGGGCTAGGTACGGGCCGATCGCGGGCGAGGTACGGGCCGGGGGCGGGGCTAGGAACGAGGCCGGGCTCGGGGCTAGGGGCGATGGGCCTAGGGAGGTAGTCGCAGTGTAGCAGGTGGTGGGCCCAAGTAACCTACTCTGATTCCATGTGAAAATAACAAACGAGAATGAATGAACTAGCAAACAGTTGGGTACAAGTACTAACCCTAATTGGGTTGTACCCCTTATGGGCTACCCCACTACAGCCTACACAAATGTATAAGCTATAATGTTCTGACAACTAGCACCTGCAACCGAAGACTCACTAGCACCTAGTGCTGCAGCAGACTCAATAGTACCTAGAGCAGCAGCAGCGACACCAGCATCACCAAGTACACACGAGTAACACGCACTCTCATCACTAAGTTCAGTCACATACATAGCATAGATAGCCTTGTTGATTTGAACAAAGTCAAGAGCATACACATCGACTCCCATCCCTTGCAGTTTCAGCCAGTTGGGGACAATCGCCTCATCCCCGTACTCATCCACCCAGGCATCCTCAAGACGGCTGAAGCAGCGGTACTCGGTGTGCAGCTTCCCACAGGACTACCCCTTCAGCTTCCCAGTGCGCCTGACGTACGGGCAGCAACCGGAGCCCCCAAGGGAAACACGCTGGACAACCCACTCACGAAGCTGCTGAGGGGTGGGGTTGTCCGGGAGGCGTGGCAGCTGCTGTAAATGGCCACCAACGCCACGAGCTGATCCGCCACGGCCTCCACCTTTGCCAGCTCCACCATGACCGCCTCCACCACCCCCGCCGCCTCCACCACCCCCGTTGTCTCCACTACCCCCGCTGCCTCCACCACCCCGTCCGCCTCCACCGCTGCCACCCCCAGAGCCATCCCCACCGCCTCCACCCCCGCCACCTCCACCGCTGATGCCACCCCCACCCCCCTTGCCCCCTTTGCCCCTGCTGTTTTTGCGCCTTCCAGGGAGTAGACGCAACGCTAACCTCCTCAGCACCAAGGAGGTCGACAGCAGCAGCAGTAGCAACTGAGGGGAGGAGAGGGGAGGGAGTACACCCTTCAAAGAAGGGGGAGCGGGGGGTGCCACGAGAGGCAGCGACAGCGA